AGAACCACACTGAGGGCAGCTACAAGTCAAACCCCTTTCTCCTTGGTATACGGATGCGAAGCAGTGTTACCTGCAGAAGTCACCACTCAAACAGCCAAGTATGGTCTGCTGACACCAGAGCGCAACAACGAAGAGCTGTCACATGACCTGGATACTATTGAGGAACGAAGGAACCTGACATACATAAGAATGGCTACCTATCAGTAAATGGTGGCAAGAAGTTTCAATAAGAATGTAAAGGCTAGGATGTTCAATGTAAGAGATTGGGTTCTACGAAAGGTATTCTAAAACACCAGGGAGCTCAATGTAGTTAAATTGGGGGCAACCTGGGAAGGCCCATACCAGACTGACAGGGTAATTGGCAAAGGGGCCTACAGGTTAGTCACACCAGAAGGAAAGCTGGTACCTAGAAGCTGGAATACAGCTCACTTGAAACCTTATCATTTCTAAGTTATTTCTAAGTTACTTCTAAAGTTATTTCCAAGTCGTCTATAAGTTATTCCTAGATTTTTTTTTCTTTTTCTTTTTTTTTTTTTTTTTTTTTTTTTTTTTTTGCAAAAATATCTTTCATTCATTGCCTTTACAAGATCAGTACTAACTCAGCCATTGGAGGGCCGTTGGCGGCAACGCCAACTGTCAGCTCTAACCCGCTGGTTTGTAGGATTAAAGAAAATAACCTGAGTACCAAGTGCCACCCAGAGATGCAAAGGAACAAAGACAAAGCAGAAATAAAGAGTAACCTCAAACTTTGTCAATTTGTCTTTGTTTATTCTATCAAAACTTGCACTGACTTAAGCATCGGAGGGTCGTTGGCTATAACCCTTATGATGCAGGTACAACTTCAACCTGCCAAAGCTACAAACAAACCACGGACCCAGATGCCAGATACCAAAGATATTCAAAGCAAGAATCAGAAGCATTCAAAAGAAAAACTAAAAGTGCAACGAAGGTAAAAACCAAATCTATGTTATTCAAAGAAACCTAGCATCCAAAGTTCAAATTCAAAAGCATAAAACCTTTACTTTTATGAGCAAAGTAAAACACAAGTTCAAAGGTACCAAAGAAAAATGTTTCAAAACAAAGACAGACATAGAACAAGAGCTAAGCTAAGCCTGTGACCTATCTTTCCCAATTCAAGCACCTGTAGCTGGATCATTAGCATTGTGACCTGGAGAAGAATCAGCAATGGACTTCTCAGGATCGATCTCATCAACCTTAGGTTCCTCAGATATAAGATCCTTAATGGAACCGATAGTTAAGTAGTCATCCACTATCTGTCTAAGCTTTTTCCTTCCTACGTTGCCTTCATATTTGTTCAGCAGGAACCCATTTGCCATGTGAGCCTTGATCTTCACAGTAGCCTTAGCTTCAATGTTCTTGTTCTCATCCTCAAGATCTACTATCTTATCATACAACAACTTCAAATCTTCCTCTTTCTTCTTCATGTCTTCCTTAAACTTCTTTTGCTGCTCCTCCATAGCAGTGTTGAGGTCCTTCATCTTCTGATCAGTCATATCCTTTTGAATTTGCAGGTCTCTCCTAGCCTTCTCAGCTCTCTTCAGCTTCCTTTCAGTATCTTCCATGTAAACCCTAGAAGATAGAACATTCAAAAGACCTTGTTTCACGGAGATAACCTAAGTCAGTAATGGGCCTAGCTATAAACACTAACCAAATACTCAGAGAAGATTAGCAAACCTGTAAGATCAGCTGAGTACCATCTGCCAGAATAGAAGGACCATTTAAGTTAGCTAAGCGCTTCTCAGCAGCTGGAAACAGGAGTTTCTGAGCAGCTGGCCAGATTCCATTATTAGTTCCCTCATCAACCAAGAAATCATTTGGGAATCTAACATCATAAGTGTCTGCTATGGTGATTGGATTAGTGGGGGCATTAGACCTAGTGCGAGGAACCCTGGTAGGAATGGGTACCTCCCTGTTGGACAGTGTCTTAGAAGGGCTATCATCATGATGTTGAACTGATGCATCTCCTGATACACCTTGAGAATCATCCCCCCCTCTTTCTCTTAATACGGTTAAGAGCCTCTTCACGGGACATCACATTAGCACTCTTTCCTGGTATATCCAAGATCATGAATCTCAGCTTCATATCCAAAATCTCGAAGAAATAGCTAAGTCATTGAAACATACTTGAAGCCATGGATACACTAGCAGTTGTAGATGGAGTAGGTAGGTCATCAAAAGTTCTATGAGGTATAGGAATCCGGTATAAAGCCTTCACTACTTCTTCTGAACCGTCCTCTGGCTTTAGGGCGTCCAAGCGCAAATCTGCAAAAGATAAATTAAAACCCTTAGTTAATATACTTCGTTCAAAAGTTAAATCATATAAGATTTATTAACTACCTTTATGCTAGCCGCTTCTTATCCACTTTCCAGGTTCCCCCAAAGAATATTTCAAAACAAAGAAGTACCTTGTCTTCGATGTTCGACCATTTGTTTCATACCCAACAATTGGGGGAGGATTGCTGAAGCCCGCTTGTAAACTGTCACCCTATCTAGGTCTTTTTTCCTAAGTTCATAGCACCTGATAAATTAGCCGCATTCATCTTTTCTCTCCAATTGGCCGTGATTCCATCCAACCTATTAATCACCCTCCAAACCGCAGGCATCAGCTGGCCTAGGCTTAAGTCAAAAGTCTCTAAAATGTGCTTAGCCAAGGGGAAAGAGGATAGTTGAAACCATTCTTAAAGGGGAACTCATAAAAAACTATGTTATCCTCACTGCAAAGCTGTGGTCTGTCCTCTGGTCTAGGTACGATAAGTACAGCAGACTCAGGGAACCCAACCACCTTCTTTAGTTTCATCAACTCAGCCTCAGTAATCTTGCTAAGCTTATCCTCGTCGGCCTTCCCCATCTTACTTTGAGTCACTCTCAAGTTCCTATTTAAGTGTCTATGGCATTTTTTCTTAGCAACTTGCTTAATTTTTACCATAATCAAATTGAATTTCACAACAGAAAACAACGACAGCAACGACATTAAAAGAGCAAGGGGAGCAGTAACATACCAGGATAAAGTGAATTTGCGAAGCTTGAATCCACCGCTGCAAAATCCCAACTTAAATTGCGCTTCATTGAAGTAGATTTAGTTTCCCCAATTTCGCAAGAAAAACCCTAGGTTTTCGATTTTGAATTTGCCTTGAAGTTTCTGACTTGAAGAGACCTTTATCCACCTATTTATAAGCGTGCATTTAATATGTCCAACAAAAAAGTGTTCTTTTCAAGAAGTTCATCATTTGCAACGGATTTAGGAGCTTATATTTATCTTCTGAATTGATAATTTTTCCATTGGTTATCTGAGTTTATCTTTTTGAAATTAAATAATTAAGCTTGCCTCGTAGAAGTCTCTAGAACATCTAAGAGTCAAGCTGGGGGCTAACTGTTGTGCCTAAATTTTCACCACAGGTTCACTTGTTCGCAGGTTGTTAGGTTGCAGGTTATCATGAATCAACAATTTGATTCCAAGCACTTAAAAGAAATTAAAAAAAAGACTTTTCTAAGAAATATTCCAAGGGTATCTCAGTTGAATGAGTCATAAGGAGGTGACAAGATAATCGGAACCATGAGCCCCAGCTTGCCGTTGGTAAAGACCATTTCAAACCTTAGCGGATAAGTGCGCAAGGAGGATGGTGAGGAAATAGGAACTACCTCAGCCCATTAGCTCCGGATTCCACAGAATTTGGAACGGAGCCGTTGAAGCCTTCCAAGATGATTCTTTTGTTATAAATAGAAAGATAATCTTTGTACAGAGGCATCACAAATATTCTAGCCTAAGTATTCATAGCAATTAGAAATTTTTAGCAATTAGTAGCATCATTACAAATCAATTATGAACCTCAAGTGTACTTGTATCAACCTATCTACCTATTGGATTGGTGGACTCATTGCCACCCGCAATTTTTACCCTTATTCTTGGGGTTTTCTGCGTCATCAATTTGTGTCTCTTCTCCCCCTTTTCCCTTTGCTCGTTCTTTGCATACCTTTCATCTTTGTTTCAGAACCTACATTATCATTTTCATCCTCAATAATCTAGCTGTTGTCTAATTGAGCCTGGTCTTATCTAGTAGTTAGATTTTGACCTAAACAGTTATGAAGGTGAAGGTGTCGGCAAGTGTTCAGTCATTATGGTGGTCAGCAAAATGATTCAAAAATAAAAGAAAACACTACCTTAGAAGTTGATTCAATGGAGGAGAAAGCTTACAAGCCGCTTTAACGGCGGAGAAAAAGCTCACACGTTGCTTCAATGGAGAATCTAGAGTACAATTCGACGGAGGAGAGAAAGCTCAGAAGTCGCTTTAATGGAGGTTTCAGAGTATGCTACCACATAAGAGCTGAGAGAAAGATTCCAAACTGAGCCCTAGGAGAGAGCTCACAAGCTACTTCAATTGAGGAGAAAGAAAAAAATCAAGGAAAGGGAAACAAAGCTCTAGGAGAGAAAGTGAGAAATTAGGTTAAAATTTTTTGTTACTTAATTGTGAGAATCTGAAATGACATCATTTGAGATGAATTTGGAATTCATTGAATTGAATTTTAACTCTTTACATGCTTGGATTCAGCCCAAATGCAAATCCAAATTCTTGCATTACCCAAACAAATCATTTGGCTCAAATCGGAATTTCAAATAAAATCCATGGTACATATAGGCCATTATCGCTTTCTTTATGGTTGGTTTTTTAAGAGTTAGTATAGACCAATACAATTTGTTCATTTATGTTGTGCTATCATTTTACTGAGAGGAATAAACACCCAATTTACTAGCACTCGTCAAAATTTGGTGATAGCTTAGGAGACAACCCCAATTAATAAAATTGATATACAAACTTTGTATATAGCATTCAATTTAGAGAGAAAGCTGGTACTTCAAGTAATGGTTTTACCTCTTAGCGGTTTAGAGTTATTGACTAGCATTTTCCCAATGCTTAGCTACTCACTTATTAATAATAAGTTATTATGAATTGACTCGATACGATTAGTTTTATTGGTGATAATAGTACGAAAGTGAAAATCTATTTTAAAAAGAAAAAGCATACAAGAATGCTCATATCATGGATCGGTTAGGAAGCATCCATCTATTATTACGCATATAATACAACAGGGGAGCCAATGATATGAACCCTTAGCTTAGCTAAATACAACGGCCTCTTTCCAGAGACCTAGATTTATCATTTCTGGTACCACCACTTACATTATTATCATTCATATATATCATTCTATCCTGTTAGCTGACGATGATCTGAGATCAGAATCTGACCGAGAAAACATGCATGTTAAGATGTTGGTCGCTCATACTCTACTATTAGCTGGCATTGGTATGACTCCATCAAAGAAATCACCAAAGTAGTTGCGAGGCTCATGTACAAGCCTTGAGATGATGTCCCTCAGCGTAATGACACCTTCAAGACATCCGCCTTCATCAACCACGTAGATACGATGGATGTTCAGAGAGTCAAGGGTGAGGATAACTTTCTTGAGAGTGTCATCCTTTTTGCATGTAATCATCCCACTAAGTGGAGGTGATGACCCCTCATGGTGCTCTTCTCTGTACTTCTTTGAAGCAAGTAAGAAGTCCTTAGCAGTGATGGATCTGCAACAATAATTATGACATTAAATTTACGAAGATAAGGTTTGAATCTTATGTGCCCTGCCATCTCCAGGGGACGAACATGAGTTTATGCAAACTATATGCATTGCCATTGGTGTCACTAGTTGTATGACTAAGCCTTATATTAGGTGAAATTCTAAACTAAGGTCGCCACACGTTTTTTTTCGCTCTTGTAACATAGGATCTAAAAATAGCAGACAGATTCCCTCAGTCCAGAATTAACACTCTATACTATTCTGGGATACACGTAAAATTTGTCACATTTCCTAATAGATATCCAAATATAACCAACTTAAATGAAGCAGCACGGACAGAGGGTAATAACAGACCTGCAATCCTTGTATATCTCTGGAGCAGTCAAAAGAAATTGAACGTCCCTTATGCTAATATTACCAACTGCTTTAGCTCCATCGTAATCAACAACAGGAATCCCTCCAACACCTTTTAGCCTCATCAGTTTGAAGGCCTGAAGAACCGGTTCATCCTCATAGACCTAGAAGAAAATAGAAACTGCACGTCAATACAAAGAATGCCCTGGAAGCTAGGAAATTAGGAACGCATCTTTTTTTGAGGGGGTGGGGTGAAGTGTGCGCTGGTATTTCAGAGAACCGAGACACTTCTCTCGAAATTTATCACAACAAACGGCATGCAAAATTGGAGTGTAGCATTCCAAATTAGTGCCTTGACAAAAGAAACAGTTCTGAGATTCAAGATAAATACTACCCTGTACCTAGCTTGCTACCTAGTGCTGAGTGATCTACAAGACTACAACTAGCTTATGACCCATTTGATGATACTGCAAACTTAAGAAGGAAATTTTTTATCTAACAAGAAATTAACAACACTGTTTTTTGCTCTATGTAGATATATAGCCAGTAAAGAACCACAAACCTTGACTACTTGCTTAGGACTCATCAGTGGAAGACCAATTTCAGTGAGCTTTCGGGTTCCAAAGTTTTCAAACCAATGAAGCCCGGCACACTCAGCTAGCATGTGGATAACAGCAGACTGAGTTATTATATTCTCAACCTTTGCACCACCAACAACAGGAACACCTTTCATTTTGTACTTTGAGAGCAGTAGCAGGACAGTCAACATAGAGTTTGTATCTTGTAAGGCTAGAAATGGAGCCCACCGAAATGACCCCGAAATATCTCGAACCTGTTTAGATAAAAGTTAGTTGATGCAAGAATTATAATGACTTTTGCATGAAGTACAACAAATTTAACAAGATTCACCGTTGTTTTCTTATACAGCTCCGAAGCAGTAAGTGCTCCAAAGAAGTTTCCAGATGTCATTGCAGCTGATCTTGGGCTCATGCTTCTTTCTAGTTTTGTGGCCCTATTCACTCCATTTGTGTTCACTGCAGCAGCACTGCTGTTGCTCTTTGGGGACGGTAAAACTCGGTTTGATTCATCATCTTCTGACTGCCAGAAAATCCATTATAAACCTCAAGAGATTATTAATAGAGTATAAAAATTCTTATTATAGTATTTTGTCCAACTCATACAATTCAGTCACACATCTACAAACAATATACTACCAAGAATACCATATCATTATCCAAGGTTAATAATGAAGCTCTAGCCTAGAGTGCTTCCCAATTCCCACATAATTATGGTTTCTGATATGTTCTTGATTCAAAAGCTAAAGTAACAGTCAGCTTATGTACAATTGCTGAATATGGACAGTACTTAAACAAACTACTATGACTAACAAAAACAAAAACTAAATCAGCAAGTCTACATTGATTTTGTAATGTCCTTTTCCCCTAGTCCCTATAGAAATTCAAAAGGGACAGACCAGACAGTACACAGACAATCAACTATGAGTTGCAATAACGATTACTCAATTAGAAAGGCTACATACACTAAGCAATATCCTTTCCCAAGCCCCTGTAGTAATTATAAAGGGAGGGTCGAATAGAAACAGATGAAAACAATCGAACTGTGTCTGTCAATACTAAATAATGAAATTTTTTAGCAACCTTGCATACCCAAGATTTCTTAGCAACTACAGGACAGCACTATAGAATTTCACCTCTAATTGATATAAGGTAGTGAGTCATAATACACGACAATATGAAGAAAATGAACAGATGAACAAACACGAGAAAAATAAGTGGGAAGATCAATGTGAAACGGAGGAAGTAGCTTTGAATCAACCAAATGCACATAGCATACAGAAACCAAGTGTAGAATGTAGAGTCGCAAGTGTTTATTCACATACAGACCTTTTGTATAACAATTTAAGTTTCAGAGAATGAGCTTAGAGGTTAACTGACCTGATGCAGTATCCAAACAGCTATTCCAGGAAACTCCACAATCCCAATATATCTCTCAATCCAAGTAGCATCATCTGACGCTTCAACATCGACAACAGGCGCACTAAGAAGTTTATGCTGAGAAAGTATGCTAACAGCTTCAGCCAGACTGCAGTTCGATTTTATTTCAACTGCATAGCACAAAATTAATTAGGAACTTGGCGCGACATACTGGAACATCACTACATAGCAAATTTCTAAGCCAAATAATATTATCATGGCATGTTCAATCAGTATACATCAAAACTACTGGTACTAATGTTATCACCTAAAACTTCATGAGGAATTTTGATCTAAACCCATCATTTTTACAAAACAAATAGCAATGGACCAAAATATTGTACTTCCATTTATTTTTTCCTTACTACAATTTGAATTTTACCCTTCTTAATTAATCAACATTATAAAAGTTGATATTTTGATAATATATATCAAAACAAATCTAACATGAGCACACTTAGCTTCAATGCTTCACTATGCATTAAAAAAGTTGGTATAATAAATAGTGCATATATCATATATGTGCTCCAATAATTTAAGTGCCCCATAATCACTTTTTACGCTATTATTCTATTAATAACACACATTCCCGTCAAAAAAAAAAAAAAAAAAAAAAAAAAACACATTATTATTTGGGTTTATTTTAGAACCGTCTTAATGTATACTAGATATATACTCTGTAATACTACGATCATATCTATTGATAATTAAAAATATATTTTAATTTCGGCCTAAAAAAAAAAACAGAGGAAATATCAAACATGTACTTTTTTTTTTCCCCCTTCATCCGTCCCCTAATAAATACGAGTATCAAACTAATTTGTTGGACAGTGATCGGATGAGTAGTAAAAAAGGAAAAATCAACAAATTAAAACCCAAAATTCACAATAACAATCTTAATTTCTCATGATTTACCCCAAATTAAATAATTTATCTAATCATCAACAAACAACTTTTTAATTATAATTCATCAAAAACTCATAAACATAATATAAAAACAAAAAAAACAAATAAAAAGAACAAACCAACCTTTGGAAGCTTGAGCAAGAGGAAAGGAAGAAACAGGAATACTCTCAAAACAAGCATTAAGTTTATCGGTAGGACTAAGTTGAGCTTCTAAATTATCCCAAATATCCTCCACTCTCATCCCTAATTTCGCCTCTGGACTCGACGACTCCATCATTTTTCCTTCTCTCTCCAAAACATTACCATTCTCTCTCCTCTTCAACTGCACCTCCATTTCTGGTCAAATCAAATCACCTTCTAAAATATTTTCCTTTTGCTTTTCTTTTCTTTTGTATTAGCAATCAAAACAAAATAAAGAACTGATTAGTTAGATGAAAATGATGGGTGTATATATATGAATGATTGGAGGTTTTATTATGTGTGTTGGGGAATATGGGGTTATGATGGGGTGATTGGTTTGATGGAATCAATGGCGTTGAAATACAATGATTGAGGGGGTGATTGTGTCAAACTGTCAAAGGGGGGGCTAAGTATGATGGGTTGTTGACGTGGTATGGGGTGCTAATAAATTTGGAGACTTATCCGTTTAGATTTGTCCGGATATTGACGGGTGTCACTGTACCAGTAATTAAAGATGGATAGATTTACATGAACACTCCTATGTTTAAGTACAACTGTACAAGTACACTATTGTCCAATTATCCGCCCATAGTTATAGGGTTTTTTTTTTTTTAGGACAAATGTACTACTCCTGTAATTAAGGGATTTCTTAAATTAATTTTATCATTACCCATGTATATAATTCTGTTTTTTTTTTGGGAAAGGTAAGAAAAATAGGGAAAGCATCAGGTACCCCTCCTCAGTCCTCATAAGGGGTGTTTCGGGATTTTCTGTGTCCTTCGGGAGAGTTACAACACCAAGACTGGAATCCAGACGTCTGTACCTGCAAAACAACGGAGACTCCGGATGGGGGAGTTCCGCCTCCAATGATCAAGTTAGAACCGGAATGGAGTCTGTAATAAATGCGGAAGTTAATGGTCTTCTCGAATTATGAGAGTGGGAGTAAATGATCTGCACTTAATGTGCTCGGTTGGTTGGTATTGAATGTGAATGGTTTCCAATGGGGAAACATCTCCCTATTTATAGGGTCTGGAAGCATGTGCCATGTGTCCAGAGGGGATTGGCTCTTATGAGCCACTCTGAAGGTGACACTTGTCACACACCGATTGGACCACGTGGCATAAGGTATTTTTACCCTAAACATTTGCCCCTCATAGATGTAACGTGGCAGGACACGTGGCATATGTGACACTTGTCACTCAATCATTGGCTAACGGCAATAACCGTTCACCTTCTAGGGGAGTTTGCTGGGATGACCCTTCGCATTACCCTCCTTTATATAGTCGTTCACCCCCCTCATTTCGTCATCTTCCAAAGTTCAGAAAGAGAGAGAGTTAGCCGGCTTCCGGAGAGAATTAGTGAGAAAACCCGCCTATTCCCGCCTTTAACCACATCCAACAATACGTTTGTGATTGTCAGACGACACAACTTCCTAAAAATCGTCTGAGGGGTTTGCAAGCAATTTCTTTTTATTTCCAAAGGCACATACGGGTATACTATCTGTGCATCAATTAACTCAAGCTTCACAAACCGCTTGAGTATCACCAAGCAAATACAACTGCTTTCATAGAGGGTACATCCGGTCAAGCGCCTGTGCCCCTTGCAAGCCATCATCTGATTTTCGCCTGCTAATTCAGCCGGTCAACACTTTGTTTCTTTCAGCTTACTTTTGAGGTACCGTCTCTACCTCCCTCAACTCTTTCATGTATTTTCGTTTGTGCCTTATTCTCCTTTTCTTTTATAAAAATGAATGGATTCACCAAATACACACACAGCACACCATGATTTAGAGGGCAACCGGTCCCCTGGTACGGCTGAGTCTAGGACTGGGGGAGCTGCCTCTAGGTATTGGGATTCCCCTTCTCCATCTCCATCCCAATCCGACCATCTCCGTGTCTGTGCAGGACACTATGGCTCGAACTAGAAAGACGACTATAAACCCGGAGTTTAGAGGAGAAAGCTCCGAATAAGGTCCGCCTGAGATGGATTAGGCTGAGATGACAAGGGGATCTCCTGGAGGTACCCCAAGCACCCTTAGTGATGGAATTTTGGGGTCCGATAGCGGAGGCGGTACGGTGAAGATGTCGCCTCTATCTCCAAAGCTGAGAAGGGAGAGCCCTCTAATGAGGGAGACAACAGTGAGGCCGCCTCTAGGTCACGGTCTTAGCAAAATAGTAGCAGCAGCTATCTTACACCGGTTGTAGATAGTGAGGAAGAGGAAAGACTCACTTGGAATAATAGGGGTGATCCCCTCCAGATTAAGGTCTCGGCCAGAGACAAGGCCAATATGGAAAGGCACCTGGAAACCTTTATCCGCAAACGGCCTCTAGGACCGGGTTATACCATCCGGGTGCCGCCTGAGCTGAGTACCATAGCTTGGGAAGACGACCAACGCAATGCAAATGAGTAATTTGGCTGCTATGAGGCAGCCTTTCTAGCCGGTCTCCGCTTCCCTTTTCACAACACAATAAAGGACATCCTAAGAGGATATGGCCTAGCCGTGTGGCAGTTAACCCCAAACTCTTGGGTTAACATCTTAGGCTACATTGCCGCTTGTGAAATGTAGGGTTTCCATCCCGGCTGGGATGCCTTTGCCCACATGCATTACCTAATTAATTCGAAGTCCAGGTGGGTGGAGGGCATGGTATACTCTAACTACCTACCCCAAATACCTGATGACCTTAGACAAACCGTCTTAGTGGCCAGATTGGAAGAACCGCTTCTACCTGGTCTCTGCCCCCACAAAGCAAGAGAACTCCAAGCTTAGGACCTACAACCGGAAGCCGAGTCTGCTAGGGCAGAAGTGTAAGTTACCCCAGGTCCCGGATGAGGACTATGAGAGGATAATAGAGGCGGGGTTCATTGAACTTACTACCACCACCCTCTCAACCGGTGAATTAATAAGAGTACCCAAGAATTGGGTACCCAAACACGAGTTTTTGAGGGATGAGCACTCAGTTCACTAAACGTATGTTGCGGATGCATCCGACACTCTTTATGCCGCCTTTGCTACTTTGTACTTGTGATTTTTTTTTTGCATCATGGTCTAATCAGACGGTTTCTTTTTGCAGTAAACGCTTTAAGGATGCTGCCCGAGAGCAAGACCCCCGCAGACATCCGCAAGGAGAATGCGGAAAAGAAGAAGGCTGCCCAGGCGGCTAAAAGCCAGGTAAAAACGCCTATTTCTCCCTTTTCTTGCATTCATCAATATTAATGTACACCGGCTGACCATAAAGACCCCCAATTTTTATTCAGGATGGAAGCAAGGCGCCTTAATCTCTCACAAAGTTGATCAGGCCAAGGCCGGGGGGTGAGGTTGCTGCCCCCAGCAAGTCTCAAAAGACTTCTGCCCAGACGGCTCCGGGCCGTGTGACTGTTGGGGGTAAGAGCGTTAAAATTACCGGCGTGGGATTCGATCTCTCAGCCAGACAACCGGATGCCTCTGAGGCATCGAAAGGTGGAGAGAAACCTAAAACTACAGGCGACCCTGTAGTTATTGTATCTCAAGGTACAGCTGATCCCTTCAACCTTCTTGTGCTTGGCAGACCCATGCGGGTCAAGTCACACTCTCAGCTCCAGCCAGAAGATTCTTCTGGCAGCCGGCAATCTATAGGAGGAGCGTATGTAGCTTTATCACCGTCTCTTTCTGGTGCAGATCTCTCCCCCCAATGGCCGGATGTACAACAGTACTCCCGGGCCTTGTTGAAGTCCATCCCCAAGGAGGAGAAGGAGGCGATCCCGGGGATCAATGTCTTCAATGCCGACCGGGTCCTGGCTAGCCTGGCTGAGGTATGAGTTTGCATATATATATATATATATATATATATATATATATATATATATATATATATATATGTTTTTTTGATCTTCTAACTCTAGCTGTGGTCATGCAGTCAATGCTGCGCGTGGAGGGGCTGAAAAAGGCCTATGCCAGGAAGCAGGAGGATGTAAGACAGGTTAAAAGAGAGGCGTTTGAGACCCATAACGTTGCTCAATATTCCATGATAGTGCATGAACTAGAAACTAAAAGTCAAATCATGCAACAGGCGGACTCCATCAAACGGCTCCAAAAATCCCTTGATGAGGCCAATACCAAACTCTTCAATCTTCAGGAGGCGTACAAAAATTCTGAAGACGAGCTTAAGAAGACGGGAGAGGCTCTCGAATCTTTGAAGGGCGCCTAGAAAGAGAACTCCTCCCTTAAAGCTGAGAATGAACGCTTGAAGAAAGAGGCGGCTGCTGCCAACAAAAACTTTGAAGCCACTCTTCATGCTGAGCAGAGCCGGCTCATCGAGGAGAATGAGCAAGACTGCGAAAATTGCATGAAAATGGCCTTGTCCCTCGTGCATCCGGAGACGGAGTACGCCGTCTGGGAACTGGCCTATAAATATGCAGATCTTGCCATCCTGGCCAAGGAGGAGAACAAGCCGGAGCCCGAGCCGTATGAGGACTGGGCAAAGAAAGAGATTAAGGCCATGCCGGCTGACGCGGGCTCTGATGGGGAGGAGGAGAACCAAGCGGAAAATCAGAAGACTCCTGCCCTAGAGTCAGTCGCCAAAGACGCTCCTTGCCCGGCTCCTCAAGCTTAAGCTTTTTTTTTTTTATCTTTATTCCCTTCTCTAGCCTGCGTGTCATGTATCTTGTAATTCAACAATGTTCTTTTATCCCGGATGTGCATCTGGTCAACAATTAATGATATTTGCCGACTGTGTCAGTTTTGCAAGTTTGATTTCGATTTTTCAAAATTCTGTTGAATTTTCGCATGTTGCATTTTTTGCTAATTTTTGCCAAGTAGCTGTTTCCATGCGGTCATCCGGATGTCCTAGATATACTTGCCTCTGGACGGATGTATGCTCGGTTGATTAGTGTCGAATTTTAAACTGAGCAGACATCCGTCTACCAAGCATTCGGGATAATTATGAAATTTACCGACTGTGATTTACCTCGTAAACCAGTTTTGGCCGTGTGTAGGTGCTTTGAACAGAAGCGACTTAGCCGTTTAGTTTAGGCTTAAATGTTTAAATTAGCCGTCTGTGGTGCCTTTAAGCAACAGACGGTTCTATCCAACCAAATCAACAGTCTCTGGCTACATTGGAACAGGCGGGAGACAAGTTGCCAAGGCTTCAATTAATCTTTCAAACGGTTGAGTTATCTTAATCTAGACACTCTGTTTGGCCGCTAGCCGCTCGCTGTAAAAGCTTGCTTTTCGGGTGGCTCGCACCCCGGGTGGTGCGGCTGAGCCAGAGTGGGCTCAGCAGTCGGCCTATGTTTTCGGGCGCACGCATAAA